ACTATACTTAAACACATATTTCTGATTTCAACTGTAAACAGTATCTCTTCACTGTGTCAGTTAAGAATTTTTTTTAATTCCATAACCTTTCTTTCTTTTGTTCTCTTTTATGTTAACATACTTAACATTTACAACCTGTTCTGTAACCATAGTTAAGTGATTCTTCGTCTACAGGTGGACTGTAAATTTGAAAATCAGTAAACAATGTTTATATTTCGTCTATGTAAACATAAACATTCACCCAGGCAAATGGTATTATTTGCCCAGGCAAATGGTATTCTATGATTATACTTTATTTGGTTGTTTTTGTCACACAACCAACCCCACTAGATTTCAAATTGCCATCTTTTAAATCTTTTTAATATAACTTTATTTATTTATTTTTATGTGGTGCTGAGAATCAAACACAGTGCCTCACACATGCTAGGCAAATGCTCCAGTGAGCTACAACTTCAGTCCTCAAATCGCCTTTTTACTTTTGTCTCAAGTCTCCTTCCACGCCATTGTTAGAATAGGTTCTTCCAATATTTCCAGGATATTATCAAGTCTAAAAGTTCCTTTGTTTTTTCCTTTGTGCATAAATATGTATATGTGTGTGTGTGTGTGCGTATGCATACACATGTTTATTTTTCTTTTTCCTGCTCAGTACTCAGTAGGTTTTCTACATCTGCAGACTCATGTCTCCTTTTAGTTCTAAAACTTTTTTCATGTTAATAACTTTCATCCAACCACTTTCTCTAATCTCACTTTCTGGAACTTCTGATACTAAAAATCTAGATTAATTCTTATGACTTATCTCTTATCATATGTACTCTTTCTCTATTTCTCCTTATCTTGTAGGATGCAAACAGTGCCTACCAATTGACCTTATAAACAATGAGATAGAAAAATCTCATAACTGATATTTTTTCCTTCCATTTAGTTCAAGGCTTACCCAACTTTGGCCCTGCTGATTTTATTGGGTGAGTGTTATCTAATTTGTGTGTTGCTCCTATCAATATCAAGATCTGTTCTCAGTGTTGAGTATACAACATTGAACAAAGAAAAAAAATTCCTGACCTCCTGAACTCACTTTGTAGGACAGGGAGGCAGTGAAGGGAAATCGAGGAACAAGAGACAGGTGAACAAGAAATGAAAGATGGAAACCATGCAGAGATACATACGAGAGTTTATTTGTCAGAGCTGACAAACAAAGGCTCTCTATAGGAGACAGAGGCAAAACAGGCTTGAATTCTGGGATTTTTAAAGGGTAGACTCAGGAATCAGAGTAGGTGGGTCCTAATTAAAGCAGTTAAGGGATGGGTTAGTATGAGGGTGATGAGCTTTTCTCAGAAAGGCCCTTGGGTGGGAAAGTGAAACTTTTTCCTTAAAATGATGGCTGTCACTTAAGATGGTCATCCAGATGCCAAGCAAGGACCTTATAGGCAGATTTTTTTCAAAAAAAGATTAAAATATTACACATCAGGTATATATATTTCTGGAATCAGAGGCTGTAGCAAAATTTTCTGATTTGGCAGGCAGCTTTTCATTCACAGACAACAGCTCCCTTGGTGACCGCTCTTGCTTGTGACAGGGAATTTTTCAGAGTTCTACTTATGTTTCTTTAGTCTTCCTCTAAGTCTACAAAATATTTAATACCTGTATTCTTAAATTAGCCAGAGTGAATTTTATGAATTGTTTTCTGAAACTGAATATGACTGCTACAATATTCACAAAAATAAAATGTTTTTTTTTTTTTTTAGTAGGAAGCTACCTTGGTATTTTTCTCTATGTCCCCTGAGATCAAACTGTAGAAGCAAACATCATCTTAAAGTCCCAAACATAGCTCCTGTCCCCAACTTTGTACTTACTCAGGGAAGCACTCTTATTATTTGCCATCTATATGGAACATTGAATTGATGAGAATTCCAAGCTGGCAGTTAAACAGAGGTAGTCAGTGTAAAAACAAGTATATCAACAGGCCTGAGGATAAAAAATCTGAAAGGTATCCGAGGTTCTCAGAATTTCAAGTTTAATAAAGGAGTAACTGTTTCTCTACAATGTTTTCTAGAACCACCTGAGTCTTACACTATCGATTTACCTTTTCTGGCATGGCCCACTGACTGATTTGCAGAGATTGTGAACTGAACCAGTTTATTTTGAATAGTTCACATTAAAAGTTTTGGTTTGCTTCTAGAAAATACAAATACATACTGTCTTAGTCATCTTGGGCTTCCATAATAAAATACCAAAGAATAGGTGGCTTAAACAATAGAAATTTGTGTTCTTACAGCTGTGAAGACTAGGAAGGCCAAGATTAGGTGGCCATGGAATTCAATTCCTGGTGAAGGCGCTCTGCTTAGCTTGCCCCTTTATCCTCTTTTTGAAGGAGAAGGAGCTCTATCTTCTTATAAGGCACCAGTCATAACCCATTAGGGCTCCACCTTTATAGCTTCATTTAACTTTTATTATCCCCTTTTAGGTCCTAGCTCCAAATACAGTCATATTAGTGGTTGGGCTTCAATTAAAAAATTTGGGGGACACAATTCAGTCCACAGCATATACTTTTCAGAATTTTGCTTTTAGGAAATGTAAAAATACTTTGCAATATTACAAATAATACTGAAAAATAACATTCATTTGGCAACCAATAGGAGCCAGGCACTGTGATTCTCATAAATGTTCTATCATCACAACTGCTGATGTAAGTTCCATTATCTTCATTTTACAAATGAGGATAGGCTCTGAAATGCTAACGTCACTTGCCCAAGATCACACAGCTAAGATAGTGAAGATTCCAGTATAGGATCCTCTTGGTCACTACACTATAATTTAATGTATATATCAGTAAGATTGTTTGGTAAGGAGTTTACAACCTGGTGACACTGTGGACCCAGAACTACCATTCACTGTAAATTAGATTGTGGTCATAGAGTACATTGAGTTCCTCAAATGCAAGTGATAGAGTTTTGGATTACCTCCTGATCTGCACTCTCACCAACAGTATCTGATTCTGTTTCCCCATTACTTCACCAACCATGAGTTTTATGCTTAAATAACATTTCACCCACAATTTCAATTCAAAAATATGAAAATTCGGATATGCCTCATTTGCCCTAATAAAAATCCTCTACACAGTCATTGTGGCCTGGTTTCACCACAAGCTGTTATCAAGTTTAAACCATCACAGCAAGTTCACAAGGTTAAATATAAACCAGATTAAGCCCCAAAACTGACATACCTACTTTTTATTTATTGTGAAAATACTGCAAGAAAACTAAAAATGAAAACAAAGCCATGAAGGAAAAATGTATATAATAAAACAGTGTAGGATCTGATTGGCATAGCTGTCAAGAATTTAGGGGCTTTTAAAAGGATAATGGTGTAAATATTAAACTTCATGCTTCATTCTTAGAACCAACATTAAACTGAACATGTCACATTTGTCAGTAGTTGAAAGAAAAGAAAAAGAGAACTTTTAATATTGGCAAACATACTCTTTGATTGTATAAACCTGTTGGCAAGTTGAATCCTACGGTTCTCTTTAAGCACCACAAAACCTAAAATAACTGCAAACTGCAAGTCTGGTCAAGGATAATATCCATCAAAATCCGAAAACTTGTTTTAAAAACTATATTTAAAAACACAAACACTCTGGGCTCTTGGGCACTTGCCTCTAATCCCAGCAACTAGGAAGGCTGACCCAGGAGGATTCCAAACTGGAGGCCAACCTTGGCAATTTAACAAGACCTTGTGTCAAAATGTAAAATACAAAGGGCTAGAAATGCAGCTTAGTGGCAAAGCTAGTGAGTTTTGCATTTCAGCGGCTCAAACCCCGGGGGTTAGGGGGAGTGGGTAAGAAACACAAATATTGCTATTTTAATTCCCCCAAATAATCGGGGCTTTTCTGGAGGCGGGATAGAATGCATTTCTGTTCAGTACAGTATGCAATCAATTCCTTCCAGTTGTCCACTGCCAACCTCTCACCCCGCGCCTTTTAATTTTGACAAACACCAAATAGGGACACTCACTATTACGAATTACCTTTACCTCCAAATCGCATCACAGTCACCTAGAGGGACTCCAACACGCACCCGGTCCGTTGCACTTCCCCACACTGACTCGGTAGGTCTGTAGTGCTCACATTTGCGCGTGTCTGAGAGCCACTTACTGAAAGAAGGGAGGCTGACCCCTTCCAGGAATGTGTATTTTCAAAATTGCAATCTTTGGGGATGTGGCCCGGCACCAGTGGTGTGAGGACTCCCCAGGTGACTGTGATGCTGTGTCGGACGGCAGTACCCAGGAGCTCAGGGAGTCTGCATCCCGGCCAGCGCGAGCAAATGCGCTAAGGCTGCGCAGGGGCGGGGAGCTCGGGCTTTCCGCGGACCTCGGCAGGGTGGCGAAGGCCGCGTGGGACGCGGGGACCTCCCCAGGGACGGATTAGCAGCGCCTCCTTTTCAGCTCCGGCCTCAGACCCCTGGGAGCCCCCAGGCTGCGTACCGGGCGCAGGCCGAGGTTCTGGAAGGGCCTCGCCGCCGCCGCGCGGTGGGCCCGCCGAGTTCGGCAGGCGGCCAGCACAGCCTCCTCTCCATCAGGCCCGGCCCCTCGCCGTCTCCGCGGCTCCACCAATCACAGGCCTCGCCCGTCGCCGCCGCACCTGTGAGGAGGAGCCCGCGCGCCTCGGCGCTGTCGTCGCAGCGTCCCCGCCCCGCTCCGCC